CCCTGCGGTAATATCGTTTCCTTTTTTGATAATTCAAATGGAGAAAATATTATGTTTGTTGTAATGTTTGAATTAATAACAACTTATGCTGATACAGAATAACTTAGTGCTGCTAAGTGAAATTAAAACCTATAATTTATGTTTCTATCATCAGATGTATTATATTTTTATACTTTTTTAAATTGCAAGGACTTATCTCATTGTTGGTCTTTTTAAATGTTCAGTTTCAAATGATCTTCAAAATTAGCCAAATGAAAAAAAAAACATCAAGGCTCATTATTTTTGTATTTAGCTCATTGAGATGACACTTTTTTTTTGGTTTTGTTTAAATTCATTATTACGTGGTCTGGACAAATGAAATCCCTGAACCTCATTATTTAGCAAAAAGCATAATTGTATAAATTACTAACTTACTTTTACTAAATGTATAAATTATTTTAATTTATACATTTGCTAACATTTGTAAATATATGATAATGTAACTCTATAGTTTTACTGAGTGGAGAAAGTCAGAGAGATAATAATAATAATAATCATTACCAATATAAATAATAAGAAATCATTTAAAACTGAAAAGTAATAGGAATAAATTGCAGTGCAGTAACAGCAGATTAAAACAATTTTTCCCTGATGGATACATTTTACAATTGTATCTCCACTTAACAAATTAATTCCAAAACTTTCTTTTTTAATTTCTTGAACACAGTAAGGGGATTTGAGGAGACCATTCTACATTTTTGCAAATTAAATGTAAATATTTTTAATTATTTGTTTTTCATTAGGATGCATGGTGACACAAATCCCTCTCTCATTGCTTTAGATGCTAGTTTTTGTTTTGTACATTTATACAAACTATCTTGTCACTTCAGCTTGTCTGTTTTTCATTTTCTGAAAGTTTAACTGTGTGTTTATTTGTGTATGTGCATGTCTTAGTGTGTATGAGTGTGCAACTCTGGCATATACTTGTATTATTGTTGTTATTAATTTATACTGCAGCAAACAGTGCATACTTTCAGTTGTTCTCCATTTGAATTGGAGTTGTTAATAGAATACGGCTGTGTGTGTGGTTGTGTGTGTGTGTGTGTGTGTGTGTGTGTGTGTGTGTGTGTGTGTGTGTGTGTGTGTGTGTGTGTGTGTGTGTGTGTGTGTGTGTGTGTGTGTGTGTGTGTGTGTGTGTGTGTGTGTGTGTGTGTGTGTGTGTGTGTGTGTGTGTGTCCTGGGAAGTGGAAGAGTATAGTTCCTATAGCTTTGCTGAACTTTGGTGATCGCAATAAAATAAGGATTTAGGCAAGGGAAAGCAAAATATAGCAAATCAGCGAGAGTTCAGCTGTCTTTTAAATCCTTTTTTCAAGAATAACCCGAGGCGAGAGTCTTCTAAACAAGGGCAATGTACTGCAGGATTTGTCTCAGAAGTCTTGCAATTTGCTTTAATAAGCATCAAGTCTCTCTCTCCTTCTTTCTTCATTTCTGATCAGTCTCTATCCGAGTCCTCTCCTGCTGCTCTCTTGTTACTTTCTGCTTCTCTTTTCCAAATGCACACACACTTAAACGTTGTCAAATGCTTTAATAATAATTTAAATGTGCAGCTTTTTCGGTTTTATTAAATCCACCTTTGTCAATAAGAAGTAATTTAGGGAAACAGTGGGTATTACATTTGATCTATAATAGGATGTTGTCCTTATTTTGTGCTCCTGTGATGGCCTGTGTAATGGCTGGTTGCATCCTCTCCTGTAAGAGTTTTTCGGGGGAGATGGTTTCTCTCTGGCCGGTGGCTGAGCCCCGGGCGGTGCCATCGGCAGGTTTGATTTGGGAAGCGTTGCCCACATGACCTGTCAGACAGTGAGAAAGGCCGGGCGGATGTGGAGACGGAGCACAGTCGTGTCTTTTGCTGGGGGATATAGGAGGGAAGAATGAGAGAGGGTGGGGGTGGGAGGAAAGAGACTCAGCAGTTTTCAATACATTTCCTTAAATGCTATCAGACAGAAGGGAAGCGTTTGCTGATATAGATTAGTCACACATGTATTTTTTACTCATTTTGGTTAGGGCTAGTAATCTTTTTTAATATTTATTTGAAGTTTGTGTGAACCTTTTGGAAACTTTAACTGAATTATATTACCTACTGATTGAAGTCTGTAAAACCTCTCTAAAACCAATAAAGTGTAACATGTGGCCATAAAGGTAAAAGTATCCTGATTATTGACATTTTGAAGATGTTTACGTAAACAGTTAACTCTCATGGTCATTAGGAGATTATATATATATATTATAAGTTTTCAATTTTGCAACATGAATGCCACATATATAAAAAAACAACCGTGAACTGAGCCTTTAGGCCTTTCATTATTCACTGGTTTTCTTTATGTGGTTCAAAACTGCGACGAAGCCACCATATTACGTTTCTTTCCCCTATACTTGCAAGAATATTGTATATATATCCAAAAAACTTTGTTCGTCTTTACTGCTTTTATTTAGCGTAACCTCTCTGATACAGTGCTCCAATTTAATGACAGACATTTTCACAAAGACATACTCTCACCCCAGGCACATAGTAACAGCACACACACTTAACAGTTTCAATGAAACAAGTCATGTTTTCAAGGAAATGCAAATGAGACCGAATTTGCTCCTCTAGTATTCAAGTATTACTGTATCAAACAATGAAGACATAACAACGATGATTTTGAATGCAGTAAAACTGAACCCATCTTTACTTGCTATACTATAGTTTAATAACATGCACACACACATTAATACAAAGTGTACGATTGACATAGTTGTATGTTTAGCCTGTTAGTCTCCTGCTGATACTGCTAATTGGTTTTATACTCCCTAAATAAATATGCAAACACTTTTGTCGCTGGGGTTTTTTGTTACAAAAAGTGTAATTAAAAAATGCAAGTTGTACCTTAATGTACTCACTAGGGCTGCAGCTATCTATTAGTAATGTGTTCATAGGGATCAAGTGTTCTATCGATCATTTGAACAAGTAATAAGCACAAAAGAGAAAATAGTACAACTAATAACAGCTAAAATAATCTACTTTTTTCTTAAGTTGTATAAAATATTATCTGGCAAAACCAAAACCCATTTTTGCATTTCATTTCCAAATTACATTCTGATTTAGAAGGCTCCAGAGTAACTTTTCCTGCCACCGTCGTGAACAATTGAACATGTTTAATCAGCTTTGAACTCTGATATCGCTGCATGTGTACTTTGTGCTGCAATAACATGTGCCATGCTATATATGGTATTTGTTTTGCTACCTAGAGCGTCCACCACAACTTTTCCTCCCTGCAGCGTTGATGTACGACTTTAGTTTTCGTCCCCTAATACTATGTATAAGAGCTGAGAAGGAGGAGGCAGTCAGAGACAATGACAGTAGCGGTCATGTTTGTCTACAGTAAATTGTCCACCTTCTACACCCACCACATGCTTACTGCAGTGGTGAAAGGGTCGTTCTCCTAAAAGCTTGCCTGTGCAAATAGTCTTCCACTTCAGATAACAGGGGCTACGAGGCACCACAAACATCCTGCCGCCATGTATTTATTCCAAGTAGAAGTGGACATTAGGTGGGAAAGCTGTGGTTAGTAGGGCAAGCCATTTTTTTTCAAAGGACGGGATGGTGTTGGATGCGTACAGTTTCTGTCTTCTCTTCTCAAGCAAATCTCCCCCTTTCAGACATCAACAGACAAGATAATAAGACACTCAGAGCACAATTCCGTATTATATTCAGCAACCAAAGGCTCATCTCTTGTCAGTTTGCATTTACTCTCCCAAGGATGTGACGCTTCTATCATCATGCTGTCAAAGGGAGCCAGGCTGGAACGACAGGAGCACTCATTTCATACACTTACTGTCTACATGAAATGGTCTGCACTTATTCGGATTCTGCCAAAATGGTGGAACATTTTCACAAAGGTCACCTAGAGATCCCCCTCCCCAAAAGAGCAAAAATGAATCTTTCATTGATTCCTGCTATTGGAGGTCATTCAGAACAAAAAGTCCAAACCAAATGCCACAGCTTCTGAAATGCTGCTCTTAGCTTTTATGTATTTCCAGGTCTATTACTGTAGGCTTCACTTACAATAAAGTGATATTCATTTTTATCTGAACCATTCATTGACTGATCACCCACACAGGACTTTTTATGGAGAGTTCTTAGAGACGCATGATTGGAACAGTTGCAGACCTTCTTCCTTTCCTTTTAAAAGCGCGTTAAACACATTTTAAAACATTTTTTATTTTTTTGCATAGTTCTGCTCCAATTTGCACCTTTCTGATATTTTATTTGGCTTGAAAGAAACCAAATTCAGTTTACAGTTTACAAGAGGTCTGTTTTTTGCAATAAAACTGTTTTCTTTTTGGACTTTGTCTTGGAGATAAAACATGTAGCTGAAAAAAAGAAAAGAAAAAGGCGACAGTGGTTAGTCAGCTTCAAGCATATAGAAAATACATAATTTAAGTTTCATAATTTTTCTTTCTTTGCTTCCAAATGGGAACTTGACTTCAAAAGTCA